GGCTCTCACCATCCCTGGGCTGCTGCAGGGTGCGCTGCTGGTTCAGGGGCTGCAGCGCTGCCCTCCTGTCGGCGCTGAGCGGTGCCGGGGGGGTTTCCTCCGAGGGTCCGGAGCAGCCCGGAGCTGCGATACACGTGGGTTGGGCAGAGGGACCCGGCCCCGGCTTTGCTGCTTGCATTGAGGTCTTTGTGCGCGGCCGCGTTGGGCAGGGGGGCTGCACGTGGCCCTTCCTGGGGGGAACCCCCCTGGAGCCCCCCCTTTCCTCCCCTCCCGGGCGATGAGGAGAGCGCTGCGATTCATTCCGTGCTTTGTTTTCACCTCTCCCTGCGTCCCCGGCCCCGCAGGCGCTGCGCTGGGCTGCAGCCATCAGGCGGGGACGCAGAACGGCGCATTCTTTGCCGTTTCCTCGGCACAAACATCGCGCAGCCCCCGGGGTTGATATTCCCCCCCCTCCTCACACACACACACACCGCCCCGGTTCCTTCTCCTGGGGCAGTTCCGCACCGCTGGGGGGGGTGGAGGGGTGCAGGTGCAGGAGGTGCAGCGCTTCACCTCGCCCCGTGGCACGGCGTGCTGTGCGCGCGTTGTGCGAGCGCGGCTGCAGGAAAGGCCGAGGGGCACGCCGAGGCTGAGCCCTGGGGTTCCCCCCCTTCCCCCCCTCCGAGGTTTTCGCATCGCTGTGCCTTTGTGCCCCCTCGGTGCCCCCCAGGAGCCGGACGTGCGGCCCTGGCGGCGTTCCCTGCTCTCTTTGCCTCCTTCCGCCGTTCGGGTGGCTCGGAGCCGAGCCGGGGGGGAGGCGGCTCTGCGTTCTGATGGTGGGGACGTGGGGACGGTCGCCGCCTCTTCTCCCTGAAGCCCGTCCCCGTCCTGCAGCTCGCCCTGCGTGCCCGTAGCGATCCCTTTGCGCTGCCCGTGCTGCGCGCTGCGCCCGCCCCCTGGCCCAGCAGATCCCGGCAAAGCGCTGCCATCCCGCAGCCCCGGGGGTTCCGGAGGAGCTGTTTGGGGTGGGGGGGGGTCGGGGGGTGGCTCACGGCTCTCCTCGCTGCGGTGGGTTTCAGCCCGGCAGCGCGGGGCCGAGGTCAGGACAGAGCAGGCAGAGCTGGGACGGGAGCAGAACTGTGCATGCCATTCACGTGTTGTTTTGTTTCTTGATTCCAAGCCTCCATGCGGAGAAGAAAAGGGGGTGAGTGAAACTGCACATCCCGGGGCTCGGCCCGTCCCCCAGCCCCAGCCGTGGGGAGCGCCGGGGGGGGCTGATGGGGAGGAGGCAGAGCGAGGTCGGGACGAGGAGCTTTGGGGAGAGGTGCCCGGCAGCAGGCTGAGCACCCGGTGCTGGGGGGAAGCTGGATGTGGTGTGGGTTGGCGTGCGAGGCGTTTGCACGAGGGATGGTGCAGAGATGAGAGGTTTCCCACCGAGGCTGGGAGCTGCAATGGGCTGCGGGGTGTGGAGCACGAGAGCTCTTTGCACAGCTGTGCCAAGTGCAGGGCTGTGTCCCGAGGGGAGAATCACGGCCAGCAAGGCTGGAAAAAAACTCTGGGGTCACCAGTCCAACCCCCATGTCTCCAAGTGCCGCATCCCCATGGATTTAAACACCCCCAGGGATGGGGACTCCCCTCTGTCCTGGGCAGCTGTGCAGTGCTGACCGCTTTTTGGAGCTGAAATGTTGCCCAGCACTCTGCCGACCCCAGGGCAGCTCAGGGGTCTCAGTGGCAGAGACAGCGGACACCTCCCTGACCTCCTCTGCAGGAGCAGCACTCAGGTGGGGGTTCTGCAGATGTCTCCTGCTCTGGGACAATGGCAGGAGGCCAGCGGGGCTGTGCCATCCAGGCTGTGCCATCCAGGCTGTGCCATCAGGGCTGTGCCATCAGGGCTGTGCCAACAGTCCCGTGCCAATAGGACTGTGCCATCAGGGCTGAGCTATGAGGGCTGTGCTTCCAGAGCTGTGCCAGCAGGGCTGTGCCACCAGAGGTGTGCCATCAGGACGGTGCCAGCAGGGCTGTGCCACCAGAGCTGTGCCAATAGGACTGTGCCATCCGGGCTGTGCAATGAGGGCTGTGCCATTAGAGCTGTGCCAGTAGGGCTGTGCCATCCCCATGCCGCACAATGCCCCGGCGCGGTCCTTTCTCGCAGCCCGGAGGTTGGAGGGCTCACCTGAGAGGAGGACACCCCGGTGCCATTTGAGGGACAGAAAGCAGAACCCGAAGAGCGAGGCGGATGGAAGCTGGCGGAGCGTTTCTGCCGTCCCGGCCACGGCTCCGCGCTCCCGTGCAGCTCCCGCAGCTCCTCCGCTCCCCGCCCACGGCCCTTCCGCGGGGCTGTGCCGCAATATAGCGGCGACGTCGTGCGGAGATCGCGGCTGCGGTGGGTCCGGAGTCTCACCAAGGCTCAGCCCACCCCCCCTCCCCGCCTCCGGCACGGCGCTGCGGGGTCCCGGCCGCGGGGACGTCGGCACCCGGTGCTGCTGTGCGTGGCTGCCCGGTGCCGGGGCGCAGCGCTGGGGATGGGAGCGGGGAGGAGGCGGCCCCCCGACCCCCCCCGACCCCAGTGAAAGCTCACACGGACCCGCTGGGTCCTGGGCTCGGTGGGGGCTCTGGGCCGAAGGCTTTGCCCAACGCAGCCGTCCACCCGGTTCGGGGGATTCGGTCTCCTTCGGAACAAGCTCCGCACGTTTCGCCGGTTCCGAATATCAAAAAGTGCAGCATCGCCGGTTCCGAATATCGCAGCGGACGCTGCCGGCTCCATCCCGTGGGGGTCCTGAGACCCACGGAGCTGCGGGGCGGGGGGCGGCCGAGCAGCGTTTCCCTACTCCGTGCCCCGTCTTGGCGGTGCGCTCGGCTCGGCTCGGGGGGGGAGGGGTTTGGGAATTGCCCCTCTGTCGCTGCCCCCGCTGACGGCCGCGCGTCTGTTTGGGGTTGCAGAGAAACTGGACGAGATCCTGGCGGCCGCCGAACCGGCGCTGAGGGCGGACATCGTGGAGGCGGATTCTCGGGCGGCCACGGTGAAACAACGCCCGACCAGCCGCCGCATCACCCCGGCGGAGATCAGTGTGAGAGAGGGGGCTGCGCCCGGGGGAGGGGTCGGAAG